TATATATATATATATTAATTTCATGTATCTTTTATATATATCTAGTATGAACTTGATGTATCAAGTATAAATATATATATATATATGAAATTTATACATATGTGTATACGATTTGAAAATAGTTGTCAATACTTAAAGAATTTGTTCTAGATCCGTCTCTGACTTTTTAATTTAAATTTCAGGCTCTGGTGCTCAATCAAAAAGATCATTTCTTTTTGGTAGCTTTGAAATGCTTATCAAGTTGGTACCTAATAACTCTGCTGGAACTGTCACAACATACTATGTAAGTATACTTTATATAACATGCATCATGTAACAAAATTAACCGACTTTAAATTTTATGCTCTAATAGTATATAATAAGATGTAAATATTTTTTGTATAATAATATTTTTTTTATTTATCGTGACAGCTATCTTCTACTGGTACCAAGCATGATGAAATCGATTTTGAGTTTTTAGGAAATATATCAGGACAACCTTATATTATACACACAAATATTTACACCCAAGGTGTTGGAAACAGGGAGCAACAATTTTACCCTTGGTTTGATCCAACTGCTGATTTTCACAACTATACCATTCATTGGAATCCCAATACTGTCGTGTAAGTCGGTCTTTTCAGATAACTTCCTTTCATTATATAAAAATCGTCTTACCTATCAATTAAAATATCTCCACCGACCACCTTTATATTATCTATAAATTTCAAATATGTTCTCCGAAAAATACGTTTTCCTTTACGATTATCTCAACTTTTAACTTTATATTGATTTAACCAACTCTTAACTTCATCAAAACATACACTATCCGCTAAAATAATACAACTTTATTTGTCCAATTTATGTATCGTACTTTTCATTTTTAGTCTATCCTAAAAAAAAAATCATATTTTCTTATTTAGAAACAATTTAACTTTAAACTTCTCCTTTTACTCTTAACAAGATGTTTTATAGTGACACAAATGTTTGTCACTTGTTTTAGACCAGGAGTTTCAAAAGTTTTTCCTTTTTAAACTTCATGTCCAGCCAAACAACGTTACATAAATTAAAACAAATGAACTAATAGTAATAATAGTACAAATAATCAATCTTTAATAGTAAATGTTTCTTTCGAAAGATAGTTCACTCTCCAACTAAGCACTCTAAATATTTTTTGAGGATGACTTCTGTCGTACCAAACACAAGAAACTAGACAATTTCTTGAAATTTGATGTGGCAATGTTTGTAATTTTTTTTTCCAGATGGTACATTGATAGTATTCCAATTAGGGTATTTAGAAACTATCAATTCAAAGGCATTCCATTCCCAAACCAACAAGGAATGAGAGTCTACACTAGTCTATGGAATGCTGATGATTGGGCAACAAGAGGTGGTCTTGTTAAAATTGATTGGACAAATGCACCATTTATTGCAACTTATAGAAAGTTTAGGATAGTATTGATGTATGTCTAATAAGGTAGTTTATCCTTTTTTTTACATGTTCTCATCAGCCTGCGCTCCATCAAAAATATCATCATGCTTTTGTAAAATAGTGTAACCATAAATATCAATCATCAAGTAAAAGTTGTCTCCCAAATTAAATACAAAACATATATATTAAACTTCAATTTAAATAACTTGTAACCATTAACTTCAATCATCAATTTAAAAAAATGTTCAAACACCAACAAATGCAACATACATGTAACCAAATTTCTTGATTAATTGTCAACTGCATCTACTTGATATTAGTTAGAATGTCAACCTCTAACATGGTCAGCAGTACAAAATACATAAAATTACAAATACTAATTCAAAGTTTTTTTTAAAAAAATAAAAATAAAATTATGCTATATAAATCCACCATAGCCTAATAGCAAAATGTACAATTTCCAAGTGAAGAAAAAAAAGTGTGATCACAAAAAATAATTTTAAGATGGCAAAACTCATAAATTTTAATTCATTGGTTTTGATGATTATTGCAACAATTGCATTATTTCATTCATATGTAGTCATTGGGATGACATCAAGTAGCATGTATGTTAATTGGGGTGCTCATCATTGTAAACTTCTAGGGGATGATCTTCAACTTGTTCTTGATAAATCTGCAGGTATAAGTTTTATTTTTTTTTGATTTTTTAAATTCAGTAGCGGAGTCAGAAATTTATAAATATATGATGGGAATCCGAAAAATATAAGAATGTTATATTTGGGATCTGAATCTAGGACCAAAAATAATATGAGAACCCCTTTACCACTGTACTAATTTTTTCTATTTATGTTGACGCGATTCAATAGTTTATATACATACAATAAAAAAATATTAACCTATTTATATAGTGTAATTTTTTTCGGCAAAGGAGATTCAATTGGCTATAGTCTTAACAACCAACTAGGCACACCCCTGCTTCGATAATGACTGTTCTAGGTAGAGATGGATTCATAATCTGGATACAATTGGTTCAAAATGAGTGTGATCTGATAATATATATATATA